TGACCTCTGACCTCAAGGTCACACTGGCCTGTGACTGTGGTCAGGAGGTCACACTGCTGGGCACTCTGTGCCAGTGGAGCTGCTCAGGTTCACGTGTGGGACTCAGAGTGTGGCTGCGGGTGCTGACATGTGGTTCTCCTTGTCCCTGTGTGCTGTCCAGGTCTGGTCAGAGTCAGGATCGGCCTGTGAACCCTTGAGGTCCTGTTGGTCGTTGCTGGCCTCCATCTCCATCAGGACCAGCAGTGGCTCTGGCGTCAGCTTCACTGACTCATGAGGAGGGGCTGCACTGGACAGGAGACACGGTGACACCTAAGTCACCTCCACAGCCACACGTGCACCTGAGAGAGACAGCAGAGCCCCGTCCTCCACACGACAGAGCTCTGCTGTCCACCTGGGGAGGATGTCGACTTTAGACACCTGCAGGGCCACTGGCCACCAGCAGGGGGTGGAGGGAACAAGCTGAGCTGGGCGGGGCTTGCTGTGATTGCTCAGATGACCTGGGTGGGTCCTGTGCAAGTGAAATGTGTGTCTGTTAACACTGGCTCAGATAGGAGCCAGGACCAGTGGATCTCACCTGTGACCCCAACTATGGGGACCCTGCGTTCTGAGCAGTGGAGTTCCAAGCCAGCTTGGGAAGCAATCAACGAGAATCCCAGCTCACACGACTCACCCAAAAACAGAGAGGAAGCTGCTGCTCAAGGGATAGAGCACCAGACGTGAGCACCAAAGCTCAAGAACAGTAACCCAGGCCCCGGGGACAACCCAGCACTGTCCATAGAGAAAGAAATGGACAACAAGTGCATTATATGCATGAATTAAAATAGAATCATGGAACCATTAATAGGGAAAAAGAGAAGATGGGTAGATAAGGAGACTGTGATGAAGGCAAACTGCAGGAATATATGAAGATATTGTGACAAACCTTGTTATGTGATCACTACTCACTAGGAAACTTTAATAACCAGAGTCCCAAGCACAGCTTAATGGCAGACATACTGCCTGGTAAAAAGTAGCTCCTCTGTTCAATTAGTCCAGGAAAACAGGATGTATTCCCACAGCTTACTTTTCTTCTTTTTTGGGTCAACTTCATTCTGAGGACACAGGACCTTGACCAGGAGCTCAGGAGAAGCTCAGGTTTGGAGTTCTGGTCTCTGAAAAGGAGACACTGCTTTCTCCCTGATTATCCCCCAGCACCTGTGACCGGCCTCTGCTCCCTGCATGTGCCGTCAGTCCCAACAAGGAGGCTCTCGGGTCAAACAAAAGTGACACAGGAAGCAGGAAGGGGAGGTACACACACCCTAGATTAAAATGCTGCTGGTTAAACTAAAGGAAGCTCAGCATGCTTCTCAGGTTGCTGTCCTCACATTGACAGCACAGATTCATTTGAAACTACAGTGGACACTCCTGGACACCTGTAAATGGTGGATGTTCTCAAGAAGGAGATGACATCATCGGTTCTCCCTCCTGCTCTCACCTTCTCCACTCATGACTTGTGGAAAGCCATCTGTGGGCCAGGGGGGCTGTGGGTCCTGGGTGGTGGTGGTTGTAGGCTGACTGGGTCCCACCATCCCAGTTCATAGATCTGACATCAGGCAGGAGGCAGGGAACTCATGAGAACACCGGGATCTTCCACCCACCAGAGAGGCCATTTGAACTTCCGCTGGGGTGGGATCTGTGCCTGGGTCTAAGGAGTCAGAATGTCCATGGGGTAGATAAGCCCAGCAGATGATAAGGGCAGGGCCATATGCAAATCTCCCAGGCCCACAGAGTAGAAAGGCCAGGCTCCTCTGACTCATACACACAGGCCTCACCCTCCAGTCTCCAGAGGCACTCAGTCCACATCCTCACAGCATGGAGTGGATGTGGAGGCTCCTTCTCCTGCTGACAGTGGCCCCAGGTGAGGACCCCAGGCCAGGGCTGCCGAGGACTCTGAGGAGCTCCCGGCCCTAACTCAGTGTCTCCTCCACAGGTACCTACTCCCAGGTGCAGCTGGTGCAGTCTGGGCCTGAGCTGAAGAAGCCAGGAGAAGCCGTGAAGGTCTCCTGCAAGGCTTCTGGATATACCTTCACTAGCTACAGTATTAATTGGGTGAGGCAGGAGCCAAGAGGTGGCCTGCAGTGGATGGGGTGGATCAACACTAACACTGGAAATCCAACCTATGCTGAGGGCTTCAAAGGACGATTTGTCTTCTCCCTGGAGACCTCTGTCAGCACAGCACATCTGCAGATCAGCAGCCTGAAGGCCGAGGACACGGCCGTGTACTACTGTGCAAGACACAGTGAGGAAACCACATCCAGAAAGGAGTCAGAAACTCTGAGAGAGAAGCTGTTCCTGCTCACCAGACAGCAGCACTAGCTTCACACAGCCTGTGAAGGAGGTTGTG